CGCTTTCCTCACTGTTGCCATCCTTCGACCGCTGCTCATGTTTCGAGAGCAGCTCGCGCTGCTTTTGGAAGAACTCAGGCTCACTGAAGCACTTCTCGAGGCTGACGGCGCGCTGGAGAGTCGTCGGCGAGCTCGGGGTCGAACGTGAGAACTCGAGCTCGTCTCGCAGCAGGTTTTCTGCACTCTTGTTGCATATTCGCGGTGGGTCCTGGTCCCGGAACGTCCTGCGTTGGCTCTTAGATACCTCACACATCGCGCGCTAACCAGAGAATGCCCTTCGTCGGGAGAAAGCCGCGCGGCGCACGTCCAGCGACATTTCACGCATACATTTCGCAGACGAACGGCTGAAAGAACTTCCGATAATTATTTACGGATCAACGAGGAAGTGAATGTGAAGGGATACTTTAAAGATTTTAAAATAGATTTTAAAACAACGACGTTATCAAGATACATCTACTGCGCGATTGCCATATGGAAGAACGATTTTGCTGAAATATATCTAAAAGTTCAGTCTAATCTGAAAATAATTTCATTGAACTATCATAATAATTACGTAAGAATCTCAAGCATGATGAGTAATGGCCGCGTTCAGCAGAGAAAGCAGCTTTCCAACTGTTATGAAATTCTTTAACACGATTGATTTATACATTTAAATTTAGTGAGGAACTAAGAGCAGGACAAATCATGTTAAAGAATTTTACAACAATTGTAAAGCTACTTTCTCTACTAAACGTAGCTAATAAAAAATGTTTTGACATTCTAGCAATCAATTTGAGCGTTTTACGTAACTCCATAGAGCAGAAATGTTTAAATTATATCATAAGGACAATTTAAAGATATAATGTCTATATAAGATACCGTATGATTCAAGATATTTTTGCTATGTATAGGAATTATCTTAATAACTAACAAAATTATTTTTAAATCTATATAAGTATAATAATAAAATTTTTAGATACTTTCGCAAAATCATTCCTTTCATACGAACGTCTTTCAATTCGATTTTACTTTATATATAAGACACAACATTGGCTTCGAAAACGAAACGGCTTGCGTATCGGCGAATCATTCGACCACGTCCGGCGAATAAATCAAGCTATATATCGAGAGCTAAATATATCTCAGGGTGAGAATAACCACTCGATATCTTTTCGATCGCACTCGTTTGCGGCGTGAGAATTTTTGACATTTCCAACAGAAGGAACGCGAAACTGTGCTAAGCGATTCGTTTATCACACAGGGTTGAATAGAGCGGACGCATAGAATTCATCAAAGTGGATTGATGATCATAAGTCACTCTTACCTGTTCCGTCTAATGAGATCCTTTGCCCGGTTGATCCTTCGCGAGGACGCAGTCACACACTCCGCAGTTTCGCGACGTGACGCACGCAGAGACCACCAGACGCGAGACTACCTCTCCGCGAGGGACGACCACCCCGCGTGCGTCATGCGGAAGGACATCTGTTGCCCCGCGACACCCCTCGGCGAGCGAGACGTTCACCCCTCTTTCTTCTCCCTTTTCTCTTTCTTCCTTTCGTTTTCTGTGTGTCCTCTTTTCTCTCTCGCTCTTACAAGGGATCGTTACGCTCATACTACGCACGCGTAATGTACAGGGTGGCGCGTGGAAAAGTGGTCTGGCGCCAATGTCGATAAAACTTGCTATACGAAAAAAAAAAAATGGTTGAGTAATTTTTTCCTTACAAGACTAGTAAAAATATTCTGGACTATTTTTGATGAATTTATGATAAAATTTATTTATCTCTAAAAGTAAAAATACGGAGGGGTGTAAGATAGCACATTATAATTACTGTAAATTCAATCAATCTTACAGTAAAATAAATCATATTATTCTCAAGACTGTAAGTACTTTCAAAATTATGAAATGTAAAAAATATCTTACGTCTTACAATGACTATAAGACGATTGCTCAATTTTTTTACCAATTAATAAAATAAATTTTACACTGTGCGCTTATCTCTATATGAGCCTGTCAATTCCATAAAATTTATTAGAATTTTGATACATATTACTTTGCTTCACTATGTTCATGAGAATTTTTAAAATTTTAACAATAAATTTAATTAAAATTTTAATATTCTGGAAATATGCGATTCTAATCTCAGAAAAATTGACCTAAATTTTCTTTTAAATTCTGATACTACTGAAAAAAATGTAAATAACAATATATTTATTGTATAATAATATTTATATAATATTTTTCATTAAAAAATTTTTTTTCTTATTTATTTTCTTAATTTAAAAAATCTCTGAAAAAAAGATTAAGAAATTAAAATAAGGGGAAACAATTTTACGAATTGATTTTACATTA